TTTGTTACTCTCTTGTAACACTTCTAACCTTCGGCACTTATATGATCTTATTTTGTTGCAAGTGCCGTAATACTCTTACTAAAACTAAAACTAACTCAGCAGAGGCCAATTTTCTTACAGCAGAAACTTTCTGTTGAGTGTTTTAGATGAGAGCGGATTACTGATGAGGGAGGGCTGTTATTGTGCTTACTCGTTGAAAACTTCAAAATGTTAACAGAGACAATTTAGTGGTAGCAAAAGGTGACATGCAAATTCTGTAAAGGGCTTGCAATGGAGTGTTCAGGGGACTGAATTATAATTATAAAGAAAAAAAACAACAACCCTGAAGCATCTGTCCCTTTTGTCAGCTGGTTTTAGTTCAGTGTGTAATTTAACTTTTATGCTCTTAACATTTGATTCCTTTGAATGGAAACAAAAACTTTGCATTATCTTTGAAGCTCAATTTTAGTTTCATAACTTTTCTCTAGTGTAGAATCTTAAAGTCTTTAAGAAATTTGCCATGTAGCAGAAAGGACTTCTTCTCGTCAGTACAAGTAGGCAGTAGCAATACTGGTACCTGTAGCATTTCATTCTCATTGTCTCGATCCTTTCATTTCGCACTGCTGATGGCATCATCAATTGTTTATAGTTATTAGCCTTAACACACAGTTTCAAATCCTGGTCTTCTTATTAAAGAAAATGTGTCGAGAATGTGAGTTGTGTAAAAAGGAGAAAAAAAATTTTTCAAGGCCAAAGATATTAACATTTTTTCACACCTATAATGCAATGCCTGAAAATGATTTTTTGTTTTGCCTTCTCCACCGCCCTCCCCTTCCTCCCATCAGGCCTTCAGACCTCCAGGTGATCAATGAAAAAGTCCACCACATACAGACTGTACCTCCTGAGCCAGAACCCTTCTATAAGAACAGTGAGTTTTGTCTCAGAAGAGACACCCAGTGGTCAAATGAACTTAACCCAATGCACCCTGCGTTGCTGCGGCAGTGCACTTGTGTCCACCCTGGCTTGCTGCGAGCCGGGGGATAAAATCGGTCTGAACTCGACAAACTAACCTTAGACACACATTGTGTCCAAACTATTTAAGGTATCAATATGAAATTTTGCTTATATTTTACTTAAATTGGTTTGGCCTGGAATTATCGCTGACCAATAAGCATTGAATACACCTCTGCTTTGCTTAATTAAGTTTGACTCAGAATTCCGCGGGCAAACAAAAGATCTAATCTCACTATGTAATGTGAAATATATCATGGTAGCCTTCTCTCTGGCTGTTGGCAGTGATTTTCATCTTATTCACCCAGTTCAACCTACAAAGTTAAGTGTTTGAATTTAGGGGATTAAATTGTGTTGTGCCAAACTGGTGGCCTAATTTTGCTCCCTCCATGAAGGAAATTCTGTCTGCCAGGAAAAGAAAGGATCAAACCCTATCAAATGGAAAGTTGATAAAAATTTCTGCACTTTAAGCATTGTAAGTGGGGTTAGGAAGAATCTATGACTCAAAAAACATCCTCCTTATGGCGAGATTTATACTTAATTGTTTCTACCTTGTACTGAAGACAGCATTTCTGAAAAATGTATCAGACACTTTAGTTTCACTTCACTTAATAAAATATTCCTATGCTAACCTGTAATTTATGATTGTACTTTTGAATGAACATTTTTCAATACTCTCCACTATTACTATAGCTATCTCAGACAACAATAAGGATGGTGATAATAATGATACTTATATTGTTGGTGGTATACTCTCAAATATACCTATACAAACACACCATGTATTGTGAGGATGATGATAACGATGATTATGTTATATTGAGCCTCAGTTGTTGTTTTTTTGTTTTTTTTTAACTACTTTATAATTTCCTAACCATAAACCCAGTCTCCACTGTTTTTTTTAAAACTTTACTACGATAATATTTATAATTATGATGATTATATCTGTAATAATTGTGATAATAATAGTAGTTGTCCTAGAATCGGAAAATGTGAAACGTTCAACGTGACATTCTTTCTATCTGCAGCTGGTTATGAAAAATGTCCCATGGTGAGGGGAGAGTCGAACGGAGGCCGGGTTGTTTTCGGTTACGACACAAAATCCAAATTTGTGAGTTGACACCCTCTTTCTTATTTTTTGGGGGTTTATATGTTTGTTTGTTTGTTTGTTTGCATGTTAGCTCAGAACGAAAGAAAATGCCAAGACCTATTCATTTTACTCTCTCTTGCATTGAAAGGGATCGTGTATGCATTCATTTGTTTTGTAGATGGCCACATGCTATGTTCATAAGATTCTTTTGAAAGAAGTATAAAAGTTTTATTTTCTGAGTACAAATGCTATGTTCATAAGATTCTTTTGAAAGAAGTATAAAAGTTTTATTTTCTGAATACAGGCTATAATATTGGATGGTTGTCAGGCCACTGGAATATCCTACTCCTTTTATTTCTCTATATAATATCTGCCTTTCTTACTTTTTCCTCGTACAATACGACTTTATGGGTGGTTGACAGGTGGTCTTTTGTAGTTTGCTCCTTCTTTGTTATCAAATATCTATCATTCGTTCTGTTCTCCCTTTTTATAAATATGTTACTCTCCAGCAACACTTCTAATTTTCAGCCTTTATAATGTGACCTAATTTTGTTGCAAGTGCTGTAAATCTCTTACTAAAACTAAAACAGTATGACTTTTATCTCATTGATATACTTCTCTTTACTTCAGACTTTACTCAAACGATTCCTCATTTTGTATCGATATTCTCTTGCGGGTGGTTGGCGGGTGCTTTGGTGTGGTTTTCTCCATCTTTCCTATAAAAAAATCTGTTGTCTCTATCTCCCTTCCTTCTTTTTTGTGTTTGTTACTCTCTTGTAACACCTCTAATCTTCGGCACTTATTTGACCTTATTGTGTTGCAAGTGCCGTAAAACTCTTACTAAAACTAAAACATTGATGTTCTCAGTTCATCAAGTCACGTGTGGGCGGATCCCGCAATGGCTGTGACCCCTGTGCTGTGGGCTTGGAGTCAGACAACGACACGACTCTCATATTTGAGTCGCGGTTCGAAAGTGGCAACCTGGGAAAAGCTGTACAGATGTGAGTACTTTTGTCAATTGAATTTTTTATAGATAAAGTAAGCCAAAAATTAATTTAGGGGAAAATTTGTTTACTGTACTTGAATGTTATGAGGGTGCGCCAGCGGAGCGGAAAGTCCGGGTTTGAGCCTCGGTTTGGACCCAGATTTACTTCGCCCCTTCCTGCCCACCCAGCAGTAGTGGGTACTTGACTTCGAGTTGGGGAAGTAAAGGCGGCGTGGAAAGGAACTGGCCACCCTACCACAATATGCCGAAGGCCCAGGAAGTTGTCTCACTAACAGGGCAATCCCCAATGTCCAGATCGGATGCAGGAACAACTTTACGTTTTTACTTGAAAGTTCATAGATGCGTATTAGTATTTGAGATAGCAGTCTATATGTATGCAACATAATATCAAAATCTTATCTGGTGAGGAGAAAGTATGTGTGATGAGAGAGAAGATGTGTGTATATGTGTGTGTGTGTGGTTCATGTTTGGGTGTGTTTGCGTGAATAAGGGTGTGTGAGCGTGTGTTTGTGTTGGCATGCATGTGTGTCTGTGTATGTCTGTGTGTGTGTGTCATTTCTTCGTTCATATGAGCAAATATTACTACTATTATTATTTCACAGTTGCAAGCGCCGTAAAACCTCTACTAAAACTAAACTAAACAGTTGTTTTTTTTCATACTTATATTTACTACAGCAGTGTACGTACACAAGAATAGGCTCTATTTTTTTTTAATGACCTTCGCTATATACTTGCTCTATTGCCTTCAACAGCGGGGAGACAGAGTATGAGCTGTCACTGAGGTATGACCTCTACACCAACAAACACACGCAATGGTTCTACTTCCGCGTGTCCAACACTCGCAAGGACAAGGAGTACCGCTTCACCATCATCAACTTCATGAAGGTTTG